GGGAAGACAGAGGAGGGGAAGATGGACAAGAAGGGGAAGGGGGAGGGGGAGGCGGAGGAGGAGGAGAAGATGGAAAAGAGGAAGGGGGAGGAGGAGGGGGAGAGGGAGAAGGAGAAGCGAAGGAAATAGGAGGAGAAGGTGGAAGTGGATGATGCACGGACCAGCGAAGCATACGTCGAAACCATTGTGTAAGACGAGTTACATGTATAGGTTGTCGACGTTGGCGAGCACGAATGTAACAAGTCCATCCTCGGGCCAATGTCGAAGGAGCGTGGCCACGGGAAAGCAAACGGCAGACAAGCATGGTTGCCAGAGTTCTGTAATCATGCCAATTGTCACAAATCTGCTCAAACCGCGTAAGCTGGCCGGTGAACACACCTGCAGGCTGATGAGACAGAATGTTTGACGTTGCACTAGTATATCGTATAACAGGAGAATCCCATGCAACTGTCTCGTCAAACACACTCAATCGGAGAGATCCATCTGCTCGTGTCTGCAGTTTCACACCTAAAAAGGTGCAAGAGCCATCAGCCGCAGTGGTCTCCTTCCATTCAAGACCATAATAGGTTGGCAATGGTGGCAGACAACCAAAGGTAAGAATATCATCAATGAACCGATAAGTGAAAACATATCGGCGAGCTGCAGAGGGATCCACACGCTGCAGGTTCTCCGCGTACTGTGCCTCATCCCAATAGAGTAGCAATCTCAGGAGCAGCGTTTGTACCCATGGGAATACCCACGTCTTGATGGCGAACAAGGCCATCCGCTGTATATAAATATGTATTAGTAACAATAAACCGAAGATGTTGAAGAATGTCAGACACAGAAAGAGTGTCAGATCCCGTATTTGTAGTCCATTCCTCTGCACGTGGTCCACGGACCACCATACGAAGAGCAACACAGGATGAGCGTGTCCGTCTATGCTGTTGTGCTTGTGCAAGAGCATAGGCATGTGCCTCATCAACAGCCTTAGCAACATTGTCAAGAATCCGTTGATGAGAAAGATTAGTATACATAGTAGTGAAATCGACCGTATGGGGGGCCAGACCTCGGAGAGAAGCTTTATTCTTTTTGAGGTCAAGCATGACCTCGTCACTGCTCTAGACAATCCAACATCGTCGAATACCTTCCGGTTGGAAGAGTTGATTATCTTTTTCACGGAGAGTACGGATGACGCCTTGAAGTGCCGCACTCAAACTAGCCAACGTAGGT